CTGAATAGTTTTGTAAACGTTTTGAATAAGTTGAATGTTATAAAAGTTTTTAAATTACTCAATATTTTATACGAATAAATGTTTGAAAAGTCAATGTGACACTTCGGACTCGTATCCGGGTTGGATACGGGTTGGGGTGTTACAATAAGTGATGAGACTACACCTGATAAATACCCAGCATATGAACCCCAAGTAGGATATGCAAACATAAACCCATAATATCCTCCAGGAGGGGTCATATAACTCTGTGACGGTGGTCGCGACGGCGTCATAAAACCAGGTGGCGGCGGAGGCATCAAGTAAGGGAATGGTGGTGGCGATATCATATATGGTTGTGGTATGTAAGTCGCTGGAGACGGTGGCTACTGTGAAGGTCCTGCTAGTGGAGTTGAGGACGAACCGGAAGGACCTGCTCTTCGTCCATGAGTCGGGGGACGATGGTGCTGTGTCGATGAACGTCTTTGTCGACATCGCTGAAAGGTCCACCCTCGTGCATCATCAGGAAGCATAAACGGTTTTCCGTTACTGTTGAACCAGTCATAATAACCGTCAGCAACAATAAAGAGATCATCAAAAATGGGCTCTCTACAGGGAAGGCACTAATGTCGATCCTCCCATAACACGACCCACTCATAATGCCTTACCAGCCAATCTGTATTTGTCTTGCTGCGTCGATCTGTGCTATGCTACTCGTCCATTTTGGGAAGTGCTTCCGGATTTGGTTGAAAACAACCAAATTACCGGAGCACGCGATCAGTGGAGTGCCACTCGACGATCGCATAACATATCAAAGGTACCATCGCCATCCAAACATCTGATGGGCCCCTCAACTCAGGTGGGATCACAATCCTCACATCATCATTAGAATATGTCACCCATTCAAACTAAAACAAAAATATATAATTTTTATCAAAATAATAATCTAATTATATAACTATAATATAAAATTGATTTTTAAACCTTAAAATGCATACCTTTGTGCCAGCCTTCTGATCGATTAACACCCTAATTTTTTCTAAATCATCAGGTAGCTCCTGATGATTTTTCCTATCAATAGACCACCTATTCAAGGAAAAAATTTACTATACACTGTATAAAATGATTAATTTAATTAGCTCAATAGTAGTGAAAATACGAATGGGTTCTTGACAACGGGACATAAAAAGGGCAATCGATACCATGCCCAAGACTACAACAGCAGGATACATCCACCGATAGCATTTTTTCTGTAGTTAGTCGCTCAACACATCTCTCTATACAGGAAAACCAAAACTGCCGAGCCCCAACTGAGTGATCCGACCAGATGAAAGTCGCCAAGATGTTGCAACCACATACAGTGAACTTGGTTGCGCGATTTGTCTGGCATCAACAACCCTCCTATCAGCTGCAGTATGCATGCCCGTGCATACATTTTAACTATATCATCAGTGGCGTCTGCGCTCAACTCCCAAAAATTGGCATCTAACAAATTTAACGGTATCCGACCACCGTTAAAATTTTACGGGACACATCCTAGACTAACCCGACACAAAGTAGTCCAAGAACCGGAAGATATCCCTTATATCACACCTCCATCCACCGGAAGCTCCAGGTGCATAGAAACATCCTCAAGTGTAATCGTGCACTCTCCGCACGGAAGATGAAATGTATGGGTCTCCGGTCTCCACCGCTCCACTAAGGCAGCAATAAGGTCTGGTTCTATCTTACAATGACCCTCATATCTACCTATATGACCGAATCCAACCTCTACTAAATACGGCATGACACGGTCAGGTATCACTAACTTAAGGTTCCTAATAAAAGGATCTAATATACGGTCTCTATCCTAAAATATGAATAATTACAAAAAATAATTTTTAAACTAATAATCATGCATTAAATAAATAAATAAATTATTACTAATAATTTAAATTAAATTAAAACGTTAAAATGTTACCGTATCAGCAAAATATCGAGATATATGATTTTCATCCAAGCGAAGCAGGCCGCCTTCCATTTTATATCTGAAAAAAAATTAATTTAAATACTTAAATAAATTAAATATAAAATATAATAAAATATACCTTAAACAGAGAATATAAAAAAATTTGAGAGAAGTTGAGAGGATTTGGTGTGATGAAAGTGATTGAGGATGGGGTGTGAACTGTCGGGGCATGTACGTAATTAAACCTGCGGCGCGCGCCTTTCTGACGCGTGTCAGATTTGCAGGTAAGACGCGACCCCTGCACTGTGCTTTACACATGTGTATCCTAGTCAGCATAAGACGCGCTTCAGGGGGCGCCTTACCCTACGTGGCACCAGGTCAGCGTAAAGCGCGCTGCATGGGGCACGCCTTACTGCAAAGGGTGTTAGATCGGGAAAAATAGTCTGAATGGTGCCTGACAGGGAAAATTAAATGAAAATTGTGATATATCGGGAAAAACGCCCCTAACATATGAGATTTTTTGCATACGCAAGAACGCGAACTTAAGACATTACTTAACTGATATCAAATTATTTACCTCTTAAATCAATCCTATTGATATTTTTGATTGATAAATCATCTCATCAACCTTAGTACTAGTTGATGTCTTCAATATTTTTTATTTTATCTTTATCACATAATTGGTTATTATTATTATTTATTTTTTAATAATTATGTATTTATGATACATTTTTCTCATCTTTATGACTAATTTTTCGCTGTTATTTAGTACATTTTTAGTCGTTTAATCGTTGTTTTCTTTTATAATTTTTTTAGAATTAGATTTGATATCTTCAAAACTAATCAAGAATATACTTGTTTGTTATCATATTATATCTTTCCTATTTTGGACCTTCATATTAAAAATTAGATATGTATTTTGTTTTCGTTGATAGTTTTTTCACATCTTTAGACTTTGATTTGTGATTTGTAAGTGATATTTCAATAACGTAGTCCTATTTTGTGATTCGTTTATTGATTTGGTCGGATTTGTTTATATACACTTTGTGTTCGAGATTTTTTTGTTACTTTTTTTAACATTTTCGTTAAATGGATACTTGTGTTAATGGTTATAAAAAATTATCCTTATTATATGTTTATTTTACTATTATAGTTGTAAACTTTCACCGTAATCAAGATATTTTATATTTTTAATAAGAATAACTTTTTTTATAAAAAAAATAGTTATATTTGAATAAGATTAAGAATAATAATTTCATATAAAAATAAATTAAAGTGAAATAAATAATCATATTAATTATTTTTGTATCATGTAGATCATCATATAAACATCATAATTTACCATATTAATATCGTAAATTATTTGATTAATAGTATAACAATTAAGATCATATAAACATCATAAATTATCATATTAATATCGTAAATTATTTGATTAATAGTTTAACAGTTAATATCGATTTTTGTCGATACAAAACCACCTTAATTAATATATTTACAGTGAAATAAATTTAATTGAATTTTCCCAAGATTTTATTTTTAAAGATAAGCCTATTTTTAGGGGGGGGGGGACAAAGCTAAACTGTGCACTCGATTATATTTAACAATAAAAAGAGCGTTTGGAATGGCTTTCGGCGTGCAATGCAAACCAAAAGTAAAAGCTCAATGAAACGTTTTGGTTTTTTGGCAGCTTTTCGACCAACCAGGCAAAGAAAAGAACAACGTCGATACTCCATTTTTCCATCAGACGGTTTAGAGTGAAGGAATGGGAAATTGAAGTTACAGAAATCCGACACGTGTAAGATTGTTCACATTTTATATATCAGGCTTATTATATTATTGTATTCTTAAAATAAAAAGAAGGGTAAAGTGTATAATTGGTCCGGTACTATAAGATATTACTTTATTAAGTATTCTTAATTATTAAAATTACAAAATGGTCCTTTATTATATGACGTTGCGTTATTAAATCTTCGACTATTAAAAGTTATAAAATAGTCACATGACTATTTATATATTATAAACTCATCATTTTTCGTTCAGCTGTCTAAGTTTGATGTTAATATGTTGAATATGATATGATAAAATATGATCATAGATCGTTTGAGATGTATTTTGTGGATCGGCTCTCCATTTATATTATATCATCGACCAAGTTCTTGAAACATTATGTCGTCGAATCAATGCATAAATGGGAAGACAATGCCAGTATGCATCATTAAAATATAATTTTATTATATCTCAATCAGTAAGTTAACGTCCAACTCAGACTACCATAAATTATTTAACAGAAAATGATGAATTTGAAATATACGAATAGTCGAGTGACAATTTTATAATTTTTAAAAGTTGGAGACTCAACAAAATAACACTCTATCGTAGGATGATCATTTTAAAACTTTTAATAGTCGATAGGCTCAACAAAATAACACTCTATTGTATCAAAAGAAAATTTAATTTAAAAATTTAATATTGTATTTTCATACATTTAAATTTTGATTTATATATTTATATTTTTAAAGATTTATATTTTTTATTATTTTGATACTTTAAGGCCAATTGTTAATTTTATTTATTTATTTTGATAAATCTGGGGTGTATATAACATAGTATATGTTTAAGGACTCTTAATTATCTGATAATAAACGCTCATACATCAATACAAGCGATGCTCAAACTCGAAATCTCAAGAAATAACAATAATCTTTTAATCAACGAGGTCACTTGATTCGTGTGATACTTTAATTTAACTAAAGTTTTTTGAAGTTGTTATTAATTATTTTTTAAATAATTAAATTCTTAAAATTTAAATATACAAAATAGTACAAATATTAAAAATAGAATTAGATATAAGAAAAAAAATGATAAATATTAAAATCTCTTACCTGCATATGAGAATAAGATTTTGTTTGTTGTTGTTGTATGATAAATATTAAAATATAAAATCAGGTAAAAGACGAGGACTATTTCTATAAAAAAAAAAAACAAAGGGATGGAGGAGCCATAAAGTACATGGAACTATATTTAAATATAACTGTGAGAAAGTTATCTCAGATCCGTGAGCGTCTGCTTCCTTTCTATCTCCCTACTTCTCTCTAACTATTCCCCACCCTCATTTACATTGCGTTTTGATGATTTGAACCCAAGACAAAAGACATAGAGGATTAAAAAACGAATCCCTGAAAACCAAAGGACACAAAGAATACTCAGCCAATACCCATTTACATGAAATCATCCTTCTCCAGAAGAACAAGAAGGAAAATAAAGAAGAAATTTTCATCCCCTTTTCAGATCTAAACAATATTTTGATATCAATTTGATCTGCAACATTTCTCGAGGGAAAACGCCTTTTTCCGGTAATTTTCCCACTCCAGAGCTTCTACGAGAAATTTACCCTCAGATTCATGCTTGCTTTCTTATTTAAGATTCGTTTTTGTTTTGTTTTGTTGCAGTTTTGATGACTGATGGCTGTGATCTATGAAGATTTTGCCTGATTCGAGGTTATAGAGTTGTGAGTTGTTTATTTGAATCTAAGGGGTTTTCTGATCCAGTAGTTCTAGACAGAAATAAATCAGTTCGATTTTAGTTTCCATCGTAATCTGTATCTTGCAATGGCGGAGATGTTCTGGGCATGATTTTGCCTTTAAAATTTCTTGCCTTTAGTATTCTTAAGTGATCTGTTACAAGGATTTAAGGATTTTAGAAGGATCGGGTTTCTTTTTCTTTGTTGGTTGTAATAGGACCGAGCTGAAATCGCTGAGTCTGTGGTATTTGATTATCGAAATTAAGAGAAGTTATGGAGACACTTGTTGTGGTGGCGCAGCATAGGAATCAATACTGTAGCAGGGTGAAGCCACATGGTCCTGCTAGATTTGGGTCATCACCACCATCTAGAAATTTCAGAGGGGTTAACTGTAGGACTTTTCAATCCGGGTCAGGATTGCTCCCGACCCCGTTTAAGTATAACTCTACTCCTTTAACCAAACAGCCATCTTCCCCTCCCTTTTCACCATCTTCCCCCCAAACACCATCTCCTTTTGCTGATGGAATACACTCGAAAGCGAAAGCTACCCGGAAAAGCTCTCCCATTCCCATCAAGGGCAATAGAACCCCTAGAAATGGTAAGCCTTTTACTCAGGAGATTTCTGGGGAAGGTTTTCTTTTCTCTGAGCTTTGGGCTGGACCTGCTTATTCTAATTCTCCGCCACCGAGTTCTTTGCCGATTCCCAAATTCTCACTTCGGGTGAAGAGGACTGTGTCACTAGATTCGCCTGCTACTGCCCCTGTTGTTGATGTTTACCAAACTGCTAAGTCTGCACCTGCATCCCCTACAAGGGAGCTTAGCCCTTCTGTAGCGGAACTTTTTCGAGGTGCTGACTCTGTATCTGCGACTATGGCTTTACGTCGCATTCTCAACCTGGACAACACTGATGACTGAAATGAGTGAAGGAGCTCTTGAGCTCCTGTAAATAAGTTTACTGTGCAAATTTTGAAGTTAGTTTTAGATTGTATATAGGTTGAATAAGATGGTTGGTAGCATGGGTCGGTATGTGTTGGTTTAGCTTTCTATGGGTGGTGATAATGAGAAAGTAATGGCAATGGTAGGTCAACAATCTCCAGAATTTCCTTTATGATGGTTTATGAGAGCTTGGTTCTGGTTATGGGAACTTTTGATTGACTCAATGCAGAAGGTACACTATTTGTGGGTGTTGTAAGCTTGGATGGAAGATGACTCAAGCTATTCGGGAAGCCAAGGGGAGCTTTCATTACAATTAATCATTGTCTACCCTCTTTGGATTGACATGAATTCAAAGTGACGACTTCCTTCTTATACCATGGGTTCGAAGGAAACTATATACTTAGTAGTGGAAGACTTTACTCAATGTCTGTTTAGTTGTTGTCCTTAAGCTAATTTCCTCCTTAAGTGTCTGATACAGTGTATATACTATAGTCCGTAGATCCCTTACTAAACTGCTTATCCGAATTCCTTAAGTTTCTTTTGTATTCTTTTTATCATCATCTTTCCTTGGTCTACAACTAGTGTTTCCCTTGGTTTCAATTAGTCCAACTTTGATAAGCCCCTTTGTTTCCTTTTACAACCTAGACTAAATTAGCCTGCCTATATGACCTTTCTTTTTCTTACAACTCTTCTCCTTTCTTAAGCATTGCCTCAATTGGCTGCTTAACAATCAAATATCCTAAATACACTCTTACTCGGGATTTCTCTGTTGATTCCCCTTCCTCGTCATCTTTTTCTGTTTTTTTGTGAAGAAAAAGGTGGTAAGGAAAAGTAAAATGGTTATTTGTCACCTCTTAAACTTGTTAGTGTTAATCAGTTCCATGCCCAGTTGAAAGTGTTGTTTGTGTCTTGTTCATCCTAGTGCCTAATGCCCCACTCTGTTAGTGTGTTTCATTGGAGCCATCTCTCATGGAGATTGTTGACTGTGCCAAGCTGCTTATAAGGTATTTCCTTTCTCAAGATATTTAAACATTATCTTGTTCTTTTTTTAACCATTACTAATAATCTGCTCTATTATGATTTTCAATAGATAGCCACCGCTGGGATAAGTCTTTTCAGGAGGCTTTTGTTAAAAGTAGATGTGTTGGTGTTCTAATGCAAGCTGTTAGGAACCATATCTGTATCCCGCTACTGTCTCTGAAATGTATGTTTTCAGCGTCTGTTTATGCTTTTGTGTACTTTAAGACGAATCTCGTGTTTTGCCTAAAGTGCCATGTTAATGTTCAAAACTTCAAAGTGCAGTATGACCTTTTGTAGCTGTGTTTTTTCCTTCACTTCTATTATGCATTTTGATGCTTTAGTACGTCGGAATATGAATTTATTGGAGGGTTATTATATAATCATACTGGTAGTTGAGTCCCTGAAAATGTTCATATATTGCATGCATGTATTTTTCTTTTTCTTTGTGAAAAAGATAAAGAAACAAAGGAGGGAACTAGCGATGATGTGGTTTGATAAATTGGCGATTTTATCAAAATATCACCGTACATGTAATAATTACCTGTCATGCATCCTTTTTCTTAATATTACCGATCTAGCACTATTTTTGACTATGCACGGATCATCATATGCACCTTCGCGGGGTTTTGTCTGATCTGGCGTCATGCAAGGGAAGACACGAATTGTCATCCGCGCTTTAGTTGAACCGCATACATATAAGTCAACATCATCCTCAAAAGTATTTTAAAAAATATGCTTTAAAAAATTTTAAAAAATAAAATTATAGGGAATAATATTATAATTTAATACATATTTGTTTCATGAGTTGAAGAATTTAATGGGTTAGTTTATATAGATATATTGAAGTGTTTAGGTTATGTTTTTTGACAATGTGTGATAAAAGTTAAAAAGTGTATTTCTTGACAATGTGTTTATGTTATGTTTCTATAAGTTGCATTCGATCGATTTCATTATATTGTTATTTTAATTATATACATGTAAATGTAATAAAAATTGATAAATTATTATTTATTTAATTTCTAAGTTATTTTATATTAACCAAAAAAATAAAAGTGAAAAATATGCTTGCTTGATTTTTTTAATTCATTATTGTTAAACTTGTTTGATGTTGCACTTTGTGTTTTTTTTACTTTTAAAAGGTCACATAAATATAAGATTTATGTGAGAATTGATGAACATCAATGTTAAGAATTAAAAATTATTTTTCACTTTTACCTCACGTTGTCTAGAAACACAATATAAACACTTCAATATGCCTATAAAAATTAATACTATTAAATTCTTCAATTTATGGATCTAATATGTATTAAATTATGATGTTAGTCTTTATAGTTTTAATTTTTTAAAGTATATTTTTTAAAATGCTTTTGGAGATGATGTTGACCTATGAAATCACGTTTCATGATCCGTTCTTTTCATATATGTCATAGGTTCAGTTAAGGCACGGATGATGATTCGCGCCTTCTCTTACGTGGTATCAGTTAGGGCAAAATCTTGTGAACGATCCCTGTCTTGTTAGAAAGTATACTAGATCAATAATATAAGGATAAAGGGTGTCTGACAGATAATTATTACTTGTACGGGTGATATTTCGGTAAAATCACTTGATAAATTCTTGAAAAAGCTTCTTTGCTGATAACTCTGCACAAAGTATCAAACTTTCCCACCTACTGCTATTATTTTAATTGCTTTATCCTCTAAGCATTGATCTACAATGATAATATGATTCAGATCAGAACCCTAAAAAAAGGTGGTTAATAAATAATTTATCCAAACCATTGAGAAAATGAAGTTCTTATTTCTCCTCTCCATGGAGGATCATTTCCTGATATCGGCACTCCTGACTGCAAAAAGCTTTCTCTCCACTGTGTATTATAAAATGCAAATAAATGATCAGATTGTGCATTAAACATAATAGAATAAAATCGGGTTTTGAGGAGGAAGAAGTAGGAAACTGAACCCGTAAATGTCAATCTTCTGTTCAAGATTCTTCTTGCATGTATGGCAAAAGCTGAGAAAATAATTACTCTTTGGTGCACACTCGGCCTCATCCAATGTATTGCAACAGCTCTTTACAACGCGGTTATCATATATATGAGTTGTTTTCGGATTAGGGCCGTGTGATTTCACGCATGTATAATCCTCAGACAGCTCCATTTCTCTAAAGGTAAGACACCCCCGAGGAGGAGAATTTGGAGTAACTTTGAGCTTGGCCGTCCCAAACAAGACCTTATTGTTACTTGTCTCGAAAGAGCCATTGTTTTCGATCTGCTTATCACCGAGAGTATCGACTATGGCAAGACCGATACCTTTTGGTTCCAATGTTTCGGGTGGGATGAATCTTGTGGAAGATTTGGGTTGGTTTGAATGAAAACAAAAGTGATTACCAAAAGGAAACAATTGAGAATTGTGATCCGCCATTAGAGTTTGCTTGATGCTGGTCACTGCAGAACACCATAAAACAAAGGGAGCGATAAGAACATGAAACCGAAAGGGTGACAGATACAGAAAGTGTGGACTGGCCTGGAGAATTGAAATGCTTCTTAAATCTTTGTAGCATCCGTGCAACAGCATATGATCATTACCAGGCACGAAACAACAGCTCTATGCCAGTGTTCTTTACTGCAAAAAAGAACTGTATCTATGGGCGTTTTGAGGCAAATGAAATGATATGCAGATAAAATAAAGCTTCAAAACTCTGTTTCTCTCCTTCAATTTGGTGGGCGCTAGGCTATCATTCTTGGCATCGATTACGCTCTGGCCAAAACCTCCGCTTTAATCATTAGTTTCATTAAGCTCTGCCACGAATTTTCAGGAGACAGAGAGAAGAAGGTAAAGGCAAAAACAAAGTAGAAAATAGAGCTAAAAGGGTAGAGTTTTGCAGGTGAGTGCGGCTTTTAAAGAGAACTATGCCATGCATGAGAATTAGTGGCTTTCTGCAGTAAAAAACGCATGCAAAAACCTTTTTTGTAATTTTTTACATCAATATTTTTTTCGAATTCAGAAATAAAGGCACGAAGTCGAAGGAATAAGGATGATGAAACTCATCTGTTTTCGTTTCACTCACCCTATTTGAAAGAAACACTATCCCTTCACATTTTCTTTCATTTATTTTGTAGAAAGTTACAAAATGCAGGGTTGCTTACTCCTACAAGAAAACCCTCGTTGTAGGGTTGGTGTCACCATGGAAACCTGATTTCTTTAGCCTTATATTTTTCCATGACTTTTCTTGGACAGGCGCAGCCATGGCTATGTCCCTTTCGATTGGAAAGTCGAAACCCCAATTCTGTAAAAGATTTGGTGGCGGTGACATTACGCAATAAAGATGGAAGAGTAATAAAGGATCATTTGGAAACTAAACTTCACTTCCAAGTTTTTTCAAGCCCATGTAACAACACAGATGACCATTGTTCTTTCTCTATAGCCTAGCCATAGAGGACAGTTTAATATAGTATTTCAACTTTTAAAATATTTAATGCAGTACATGTATATTGATAAAATATCTTATATGATATATATATTTTGACTGTCAATGTAATACTTATAATTTTTTTTAATGTACTACTTGTACTTCGACAAAATATTTAATATGTACCTAAATTATCATCCTATGTATTATTATGATACTTTTAGTTAACTGTTAGTGCGCATAACTTTTTTTCCCAATAAATCTACAAAGGAAGTGATCTTTTTTTCTGAATTAAACCTTTTCTCAAAATGTGTATCATCACATCGAATATTTTTTGATCAAGTAAAAAGATATTCATATTCCCAAAATAAATATCAAGATTCAAACTCACACCAGGTAAGATAAAATATGCATTCTTGGCTCAACTCGAGTCTCATTACATGATGAAGAGCTTAGTTTTTTAGCCATAGGGTCCGGACCCCAATGCTTGGCTTAACTCGCTCTCTTTATCTTCCGTCTTTAGGGTCCAGACCATAGAAATTGGTTTAACTCTCCATCTCTCTTTTGCATAGGGTCTGCCCAGGCAATTCCCACAAGGATCCGTCTTTGTCTGCTGTCTCCCTTCTTCTCTGTATTTTATGCAAGAACTTCAATGTCACTTTCTCGTTTCGAAAGGAATCTCCCCTGTTAGAACTCTTAAAAATAAAAGTAAAAATGGAGTGAAAACCAAGACCAAAGACACGAATGAAAGATTTCTCGTCTCCAATAAGAGGAATTGAAATGCCTCAACAAAATGAGTTCACTTCTCGCGTTAAACCAACAACTACCAAAGAAAAGTGGGGACCTAAATTCTTAGTTGCATGCAACCAAAAATTGTTCCTCGGCACTTAGTCATTGGAGCTGCCTGACGCCATGTAGGTCTATCGCCCCCAACAGTCAATATATCAACATCGGACATTGGTTTGATATCCCAGTTAAACCGATCAGGGCCAATTACCCCTCCAATCACGTATATTTCATCTCTTAGTCCTATCATTGCAAACCCGATTCTCCTACGAAACTCCGAAGCAGAAACCACTACTTTGCTAGCTTCTTTTTCCTGCTTGACAATGAGTCCATGGCTCATCACGTACAGGGCTCCCTGTACTACTGCCATTGGACCCTGGAGCCAACCATAATCTTCTACTGTCCACCCAAAACCTATGTGGTCCAGGACTTGCACTGTCGACAACCCCTTGTGCAAGACATGCACCTTCTCTCCGATAACGAATCCGGAGCATGCTGAATTGTGAGTGCAGTGGAGATCGGGTATTGGAGTCCAGACATCCTTGTCAGGATCATACATTTCGGCTTGAGATATAGATTCTCTGCAGCTGGTGAAACCGCCAGCAACAATGATCTTTCCCTTCAAAACACAGCATGCAAACATGGCACGAGGTAAGATCATGGATGCAGATCGAGCCCACCGACGCATTATAGGGTCATATGACCAGACTTCATCAGTTGCAAAACTCCCATCTTGGTCACCAGTCAATGGGTCAACATCATCACTTCCACCCCCAAGCACAAACAGCTTTCCACCAGTTGAGACCACGCCAAAGTGAGCAAGGTGCCTGACCTTCGAGGGAAGGACAGGAAGAGTAATCCAAAGGTCGTGGATGGGATCATACATCTGCCATAAATTTTCTGGATCATATGCACACACACAAAGAAGTTCCTCTGCCGAGCCAACCTCTTGTCGAGCTTTGAACAGCTCAGAGCTACGAATGGCAGCTCTCCATGCATGAGAAACAAGCTCCAACTTAGGATATAGGTAGAAGGGAACTCGCGCTATGCACCTAAGGGCAACAGCATCTGGAAGGCCTTCAATTAGTCCAGACATACTAACCATGGTTACAACGAATTCAACCGTTCTTCACTGACAAAGTTTTGCTATGTAAACCACAGCAGTGGAATATGTAATCTGAAAGAGCAAATTCGGAACTTGTGTGTAAGAACCAAATCAATAGTTTTGGACTTCTGAAGTAATACATTCATCAAAGGCCAGTTGAATCATGATGAAAATAGAATCGCTACAATTGTATTCAGCAGCATTTGCAGCACAACTAGCATCATTTTATTCAGGAAAGGGGGATTAGCATCAATGACATCATTGAAAATCAAATTGTCGGTCAATGTCCCCAATACAAACATAAGGAGAAAAAAATAGCAATCATGCATTATATGAAGGTGAAACTAAACTATACATCAAATGTAAAAATTTTCCTACAATCTAGGGGAAAAATGATCCACAAGACACTGAAAGGATACTGAAATCATGAACTTTGGAGTAAAAGTAGATCTTTTCTTTTGCTTTTCATAAAGCCTTTTGTTTGTTCATGGCTTCAAGCATGATGCTTTCACAATAAAATTTCTTGGTTTCTATTACAAATGGGATGGGAAGATGGAAAGGTAGACAAAGCCTGAATGCTTATAAAGGATGCAGACAAAATAAGTGGGGTATAATGAAGGGGACAAGGTTTTGGAAGGCTTTAAGTATTGACAAAGAATATTCTTAGAGATAAATTTTGATTTAACACATGTTTTGCTTCCAAACTTCTCAACATGTAGGATGCACATGAGTACCTTCACATATTACCTATTGGGTACTCATAATTCTCAAATTATATAAACGCCAAGTTCAAGCTTCAATTTCAAGTCAATAAACTTCAGTCCCGGCTTTATCCATGTTTTTTACAGTTAAAAGTTAAAACTTTTTCCAAGCAGTTGATTCAAATGCCTTCTCAAACACTATAATTGCTGGTTCCAATAAATATTTTGTCATTCAAGTTGATTGCATGACGAGAAAACTCTGAAAGAAACTCCAAGAAACAAAATAAGATCAAAACTTAATTCCTAGCCCTACAAAGAATCTGTTAATATCTATCCTCACAAAAATGTGGATAAGTTACCATGCGGAGAGCCTGAGACTGTAAAGACCAACAAACAATCCTTTCTCTACTGCTCGAACCGACATACTGAAATTAAAATGCACTGAACTCCACAAAAAATAAGTCCATAACTTATTTATTTCATGAAATTCTGAATATCATCTTTAAACTGTTCAAGTATCAAAAACTTAAAGATCTAGGATATTATCTTTATACTGTTCAAGTATCAAAATCTATATAAAGCATAAGCAATTTAAAGGGGAAAGGGACAACCACTTCCACATTTAAAACACTATTTACAAAACCCTGACTTTTATGGTATAATGGGAACACGTTTCCAAAAAAATAATAATAACAAGCACATTTACAAGCAAAACGTGGCACCACAATACATTTCATTGCGCTGAAATCTGAATCCATTGAATTTCATCATCACAGATAATCATTCTTCTAATTTACTTCAATAACTCATTAATCCCAAACCCATAAGGATTTGGAAACAAAGAAATGCATAGCATTTCAGCCATATTAACAAGAAGAAAATTCCTATTAAGAAACAAATATAACCGAGCGCACCACTTTCAGATAAAACCCACCACTAATTCAGCACAAATAAAAAAAGGGTAATCGAAAGTATCGAAATTAAATCCAAATTCTAACAAATTGCCAAAAAAAATGGATTAAAATATGAACAGGTGAAGAAAGAAATAGCATTTAATTGAACAAAGAGAAGATGCTATACCTGAAAGCCAAGACCCCACAAAGAAGAAAAAGATTCGAGCACCGTTGCTGAAAAGAAGAGAGAGAGAGAGAAGAGGAAGCGAAACAGTATCGTGTAAATTTGCCTGAGAAGAAAAGAAGATATGCGATGGAGCGACAGATGCACAGAGAGACTTTTGCAGAGCAAAAGGATACGCCGACTTTCATCAAAGCTTTGATTTTTGTTTTAACTGATTTATTTTCTCGCATAAATTTATGTCTAATTACAATATTCATCCCTCTACTTTATGAGGAATAATGAATTGTATATAAAAAATTAATAGTAAAATTCAACTAATTTATTAGTTTCTCCGGTTATATAAAATACAAGTAAAAAATTCCAAAAAAATTCAAGTAAAGAACATGATTGTTAGAATTCAGAAAATAAATTAGATTGGCCAATTAAATTAGATAATGGTTTTCTGATTAATTGAATTCATGAAATAAAAAATACAATTAAGTGAATTATTAAAAATTGACAATACAACTGAGTGGAATGGGAATAAATATTTTAACCAGTTGGACCACCATTCATTTCTTATAACATTAATAAGGAGGCTGATATCTTAATTGTTGAGGAGGGATGGAATTCAGAATTATACAAAATATTATTCTATTTTGTAATTTGATAATGAATTGACTCTAGCGTTGTAAATGTAAAATGCTTTTGGTTTTCTTTAAGAAAAATAAATTGTATTTTTTTTGTCTATATTAATATTTTTTAAGACTATTAATTACTTTTCCATAGTGAATAAAAATATAATAGAAATACAAAATCTAAAAATCAAATAATAAAAATCTATATGATTATAAAGTCATTAGTTGAATTTAATGCCATCAATCAATGTGTTGAAACACGAATAAAATTAAGCGAAATTATAAAATATAAATGTAAATAACTATAATTATTAGAATTTTGAAACTAAAACAGGATATGTACATCTTATTCAACGAACACCAGATAAAATATAATCAATCTCATCTCTTCACCTAAATTATAAAAGTTTTCATAATTTATATTGTAAAATTAAAAGAGTAACGAAGAAGACTGAAAAATTAAGAATAAAAATATAATATATATATATATATATATATATATATATATATATTTACAGCTCAAATCGTGTGGACCCACACAGCTTTGACCCAAACTGATTTGAAGGACAAGCTTGTCAACGTGTCTTAAACCGTAAGTAATTGCTTGATAAATGGATTTGCTGCGATTGACATTATGATTCCATTCTAGAAATCATGAATGACAATTTGGTCTAAGCGTGAATCATATGCTATATTTATTTATCAAATTTAAAAGCTAGATTAATTAACATGTTAAATACATTTTTATTCAAATAATTGAACTTTTAAAATAAAATTCAAGCGATTAATATATATATATATATATATATATATATATATATATATATATATATATATATATATATATATATAAATTTTAAATTAATTTCTTAATGATATTAAAATGTATATATATATATATATTTTTAAATATAGTAAAAGGTTTCTTCAATTTTTAATTTCGAGTTCAATTTAAATTTGAGAATTTTAAACTTGCGAGCTTTCGAGTCGAGTCGATAATAATATTATTTTTTAAGGCAATAATACTATTTTTGGGTCTAAGAGCCCAAAAAGAGACCCACTAAAAGATTTGAAAATGTAGACTTACTCCTAACAAGCTAGCCCATGAAAATTACCTTATATGGAAGTCGCAGATAAGGGGTGATTATGCTGTACGGCCGTTAAAATAAGGCTAACATATAATTCATATGTTTTATGAGGTTTGAAGAGATTAAGAAAGGAAATTATATTTCATAATTATATTTATGAGGTTGCAACTTAAAATATTAAATGTGAGTTGATATTTATTTTACGATAAGAATTAATATTTATCATCAAGTAGGGATACTTATTTATAACCTAAAATATTAAATACGGTTTAATACTTATTCAATGACAAGTATTTATACTTGTAACTAAATATCGATATTTATCGTTATTATCAGTTTTCGATTCTATTACTTTTTTACCTTTTAATAGTTACAACTCAAAATATGAGAAATAAGGTTAGATTTCCTATCACGTCTAACCTATATTCTTATTATTATTTTTTTTCATATTTTCGATCATATTCATATAGATTATCTTTTAATCTTAAATTGAACTTTCCCGTAATAAGGCCCAAGATCACTCGAATGCACGTTGTCTCGACCCTTGTGACACCTACGGTAGGGTCTCGGAATCCCAGATGCTCTTGGAACCGAGCGAGTCGAATTTATTAAGGAGATATGCAAAACCCAGGGTTGACCATACCCCAAAAAGGGTCTAACCATCGACAGTGTAACGTCAGCAAACTAGACATGCACGTGGATTTCCATACATACACGTTAATGACACCAACAGTGATCTCATATTTTGTTTTCATATGCAGGCTTAAATTGTTTATCCCACATCGAGTATCTGTTTCCCATATAAGTTTTGCTTTTTTCTGATATGGATCTGCTCATCTAATTGCTCGGAGTTTCGGGGTTTTGCTTTCTGCATGTAAAAATCATTGGTTGTAAGATTGACGTCTTCCCCCACGGCGTTGATCGGTTGCTTTCAAGCGTGCGTCTGGTGCAGTTTTGTCAGGTCCATTAACAATGGTTTTAGGGTTCAATAAAATAACATTCCCTTTGCTCCAATTTTCAAAAGGGTAGCTTACTTCTACAATGGTGAAATGTTGCTTATTTTAGCCTACTTGCTCAGGGTCATGTAGCCCTAACAAGGTTCTACAGTCCACATGCACTCATTCGCCTTCTGTTTTTCCATTTTTTTTTGGATAATTCAGCATTTTATTACCACAACATTAAGGTTTTGATACAACCAATAACCAATCAACAAAACAGAACAGCCTAATTACACAACAATGATTGGTTATACTATACCCCAAGCATTACAAAGGGATAAGTTAGTACTATCTAATCTATTTATGGATCTGTCCCTTAGACGAATTGCAACCACATCGATAATTTCTTTAAGAATATCGTCAGCAGATCGAAAACGGCCCTGAAATAATCTCTGATTACGTTCCTGTCACAAGAAGTAAATGAAGGCATTCCACGAGATCTTCAAAATGGCAATTAAGAGGGACTTTCCTTTCCAAGAGGAGCAAGCACGAGCTACCATTTCATCCCAAGTCAAAGCATAAAAGTTCATCCCATTCATGTTAAGGATGGATTTCCATATACCAACAGTCAAGGAGCAATTAGAGAAAATATGATCTCTAGTTTCTTGATGAGTGCTACAGTTTATACATAGACCATCCGTGCAAATTCTTATTCTTTCTAAACGATCTCTGGTTGGTAATTTATTCAAAATGGCCATCCAAGCAATCAAGCTATGCTTTGGAATATGCAAAGGATACCATATTAGACGCCGCCAAATAACCTTATGCACTTGCGGTCGAATGTGCTCGCATATCTGTTTTTCCATTTGTTGTTGCCCAAAACGTTCAAAATATTGCATCGTTTGAACTTCAATATTCCCCATAAAAATGTACGGTCCCAAATGAATTCTCCCATCAGTGGATGACGACGGTGGCAGCCTGCCTCCCTGGGGCACTTTCAGACGTATTGAAATCATGCGTAAGCAACATGTACGAGATGACTCAGAGAGTCAGACCCAGACTTGTATTATTTACCTAAAAAGATAAGATGATATTAATATTAGGTACTGATACAAGGCGGGGATTCTGGTCTATAACACTGATAAATAATAAACACTTCAACCGTATATAATTTCTTTCGGCACCTAACGAACTAAGTTGAAGTTATACGAAATGTTATATGAAGTTTTTTGGGTACTGTTACACTTTCGAAAATATGTTTGACAAACTTCGGGAAACACCGCACGTCCATTCGTCATAATCTCTTAATAAGATAATTGGTAAATACAAAAAATCCAACAAGATTCAAATCTATTAATGCGTGGTTACATTAAACCACCTTATCTACCTATACATAACAATAACAATACTAAAATTAACACAAACATGTAAAGATAATTAATTCAGAGGAACTATTTACTTCTGCACAAAGAGATACTTTTCCTTCGGTACACAGCAATTATTATCTTTAAATAATCAATTATCATCAATTGTGATTATCTGTCTAAATAAAAGATAGTTAACCGTCATCAACCGATACTTGTTAAAAATATTTTTCAACCACGACTTTTTAAAATCATAACTAAACTGGGCCCTTAAGTATACTAGATATGGAATCCTAATAATAAAGCCATGGGAAATTGATTAATTTGAGAAAGAAAAGTGCAGGAACATTTTATTTATAAATGAAACAATGTTCCTTCACGTGAAACAGTAGTATCATTTTATTTATTAAGCAGTAGAAGATCTGATGGGTGAAATGGAGTGGCAAGGAGGAAACTTCTGTCATAAAACTGTATCAGATTTTGTTGTTGAAAATTAAGAAACACACGAGGTCTGAAACAAGGGCATGGGAATTCTCGACTCCCTAATGCTTGCTAAATGTCATGTCCTGTCTCCAATTCCTCAGGCTTTATGGGATTCTCTTACAACCCGATAATAAAACACATTCCAACACGTGCTCTTCAATTTAGCTTGTACCTGCAGCAGTCCTACAAAGAAAGAAACAACCCTTTAATTTACTATTCCTACAGATTTGTGCATCCATTTTTGTTTCTTATTTCAATAGCAAAATTTTAAACTGCTACGTTGAATATGCATATGGCGAATTGAAGATATTGTAGAATATTCTGAAGCAATGGTTCAGTTTCCAAATTTTTCACACAAACGTGCATAGCACTGAAGTGGAGGATCATAAAAAAATTGAAACCAATTGGTTTGTTTTTTATAAAGTAAATTGAAAATGAAGAAACATGTTGGAAAAGGGATTATTTTATAACTTGAATTATCATATAGTCCTTTTTCGAAAGTTATAAAATGTTGAAACCAAGAGGACTATCATCTCATGTTAATTATTTAACGGAAAAGGGACTATTTTATAACTTTCAATAAACTCAAGTGATCATTTAATAATTTTACATAGTCGGGAATGAAACTGAAAATGGGATATAGTCGAAGGACTATATGAGTAGTTTACCAAAAAGTATTTTATTTTGCTTTACAGTATAAAATCAAATGTAAAGACTCCACCTGGCAGAATATAATTGGGAAAGTACTAAACCACTTATCTCCCCGTACAGAAAAAAAAAAAGAAACTCAACCAAATAATTTCACGCTCATTCATAACGAGTGTAAAACACGATGGAAAAACCAATTCGCAGAATGAATCCACGCGCACGAAATGCGATAATGAAAAACAAAGAAGAAAGAAAGCCATCGAGAGAGCGACATATCTTCGACACAAAATCCGCGCCCCCGCGCGTGTTGTTTTCAGATCGGTTTTTCTTTTTAACCTTTTAAAACTCGCTCGTTCTTTGGTTCCAAACTCTCTTTTTTTAACAATTTGATGTAACGTGTACCATTGACTTGTTACCGTCCCCGCCGTCTTTAGGCCATCTCACGGCTCAGCCATCTCTACAAAATTAACACCCCAATTCCTCGTCTTCTTTGGAGGCTTTTCTCCTTCGAATTTGCACACAAACGGCACTGCACCCAATCAATTGAATGAGTTCTTTTAAGCTAATGGAAACCATTAACAGACAATCGAACCTTTTATACAATATGGACAGGTTTTCCTCGACACACGTGTATATATATATATATATATATAGTTAGGATCTACTTGTATAATGTAAAAAAAATTTAGTTTTAAATATTATTTTTTTCATGAATATATTTTCATTTTTTATTATTAACCTCAATAGTTTATTTTCACTCTTCCAATAATCTTAAATCTATATAAAACTAAGAAGATGATGATCATTAAGTGAGATCGAGAGTTCTCCTTCTCAAGTTTTACATAATGAATTATATATATACTATTAGTTCTAATGTTAAATTTTTTGTAATGCTGGCTATTTATAAATTGATAAAATAAATAAATCTAACTGTAGAGTAATAAATTTAAGGGTAAAATATAGTAATGATCACTGAACTTTTCTAAAGTTTATATTTATGTCCTTCAACTTTTAAAACTTGTAATACAGTCCTCTAACATTTAGTCCGTTTGCAATATGATCCCCGACCGTTTAACGCCGTTAGTTCGTTTGCAATATGGTCACTGAACTTTTCAGGCGCTTGCATTTAGGTCCCCAACTTTTAAAACTTGCAACACAATCCTCAATTTCATTCTAAACCCCAAATTCCAAAATAATTCAATTATATTTGAAACCCCAAATTCTAAAATAATTCAATTATATTTTAAACCCCAAATTCTAAAAGTTTTGATTAAGAAGAAAGAAATAAAATTAGATGGTTTTGGTTAAAAACTAACATTGAATATTCAGATCCTTGACATGAAGTTCCATAAACATAAAAATTACTATATTTTACCCTTATTTTAATTAGTAATTAATATACTTAATAATATAATATTCTTATTTTAATAAATAATTAATATAATAATAATTTTATTTTTAAAAAATAAGGGATCTGGATATTCAGTGTTAGTTTTGAACCAAAACCATCTAATTTAATTTCTTTCTTCTTAATCAAAACTTTTAGTACTCCTTATGAAAGATATTCAATCCATCAAAATAGAAGTGAAAGAGGATCTTAGGCTATTTTTTTATCTTCTTGTTTAGTTTTTCTTTAAATTAGGGAATTGGTTGTGAGTATCGACATAGTGAAATCGCCAGGCTCAATCCGAGAGACTGCTGGTACTAGTTTACTGGGAATTGTATTGACACAACCTGTGATTTTTGGCGTCCTATGAGCTCGTATTTTTTTTAATAAGTTCATGTTGATTATGAGACTGATATATCGTGAACGAATTGATTTTTTTTACATTTTTTGGAAATTTTACAGTTGAATATGTATTGAATTATAACTTTAGAAGACAATTCTGCATGCACACAACTCAAAATACATCATGACAGGGTAGTATATTTGGAGCAGCTACTTGATATGTTGCCCGATCATTGCACATTTGCACCTTCATTTATGACATATATATGTTTGTTGCAGTGTCCTCTATGTTTTACAATGTCTTTTATTGCTGACATGCCATGAATTTACAATAATTATGGGGTCTTATGATTTTGGTTCCGCTATATGCTTTAGATTCTCATCATGTTTGGCTATTGAGAAACATTAAACATGGAGCATTAGAAACAATTATGTGTTAAAAGGGTAGGACATTAATGCATTTACAACTGGTAATGTTATATTTGGCATCTAATGTCTATCTTAAACAACTCATTTGACGCCATAGCTTTTAGAGTGACTATGAACGAACCTCTTTCCCTTTATTTATTAAGTCATCATTTTTAATGAGTTATTAATTGATATTCTTGGTTTATTTTAGTTATTGATTGGTTGTATGTTGTAGTCCTATGAACAAAAACTCTTTACTATTTTCGCAGCCATTGGATGTGCATGCTTAAGTTCCATCCAAACCTATTGGATTGTCATACCAAAGTGCGGTAACTACGAAAAAGACAAATTGATCTTGTTACTTTTACTTCAACGGTTTATGCAATAACTGTGATAGGTGCACTCTTCATGTTCAAAGTGCGACAGCCGTTGTTGGATGTGCATGCAATAAACCTCAAATCCCAAAATACTTTAATTACATTCTAAACCTTAAATTGAAATATTTTATAATTTTGGGTTTAAAATGTAATTGAATTATTTTGGAATTTGGGGTTTAGAATGAAATTAAGGACTGTGTTGCAAGTTTTAAAAGTTTAGAAACCTAAATTCAAGCGCCTAAAAAATTCAGTGACCATATTGCAAACGGACTAACATCGTCAAACGGTGAGGACCATATTGCAAACGGATTAAATGTTGGAGGATTGTATTGCAAGTTTTAAAAGTTGGGGGACCTAAATATAAGTTTTAGAAAAGTTCAGTGATCATTACTATACTTTACCCTAAATTTAATTAATACATCATGTAATTCTGTTAATAATGAGACTGCAATTTATTAAAAAATACGAAACTCCAAAAACTTGAAAGTCTCTCTCATGATAGAGGGAAGAATGAGACACTTTCGTTTGAAGTGAAATATATATATAGAGAGAGAGAGAGAGAGAGAGAGAGAGAGAGAGAGAGAGAGAGAGAGAGAGAGAGAGAGAGAGAGAGTTTAGTTAGTGTGTTGCTTCTGACAGTGCACAAAATAATGTACAGTGAGCAAGGTAGGGCTATATATAGCTAGCTACCATAACAGAGAGCCAGCAAGACCGGTTCAGAATAAACAAAGTAGCAAGACTGGTTCAGAATAAACAAAGTAGCAAGACTGGTTAAATGTAAACAAAGTTGGGATTTTACTCGACAAAGGGTGTCACTGCTTGGTTTAATTAGCAGTTGATGCTTCACTCCCCCCCCCCCCCCAACACCAAAGCAGCACTTCAAACACACAGATATCAATAGAACATTGCCCAATCATCTCTTGAATAGAAAAGTTTACTTCTTTTACTTTCAGGTTCAGACAGTGAAACAACCAAAACAACCAAACTAGTAAAAAATGAGTAGCTGCCACATTAAAAGAAGGTTCCAAAATAAACAGAAAAGACGTATCCATCACATCTCCAGGCTTTAATCTTCTAGTACATCAAGAGATTGACAATTTATTCCCCATTATATCCCCTTCTCTCAACAAAACAACAAAAACATGTCACTTCTCTTCCTGCTGTAATTTTTGTTTGAAACGTGTGTATTTTTCAATGGAATTTGGACAGGAACAAAGACTAACAACTTATCTTGTAATTTATTGCCAAGTAATGGATGTCTCTTTGAAGTGTTGGGAGTTTAGTTTTTGTGAGGTCAACCCAATGCTGAACCTGATGCAACAGGGAAAAATCAATGAATTAGGGGGTTGAGAAACTATATCCGAAACCGTTAAAAAGGGAGGACTGACCTTGTTTTGGATCGGTACGTCTTCCATGGTTGGAAAAAACACGACATTATTTACAGCGACACTCGTAGAAAACTCGAATTTTATGAGCCAAAAGGATTCTGCATGTTACTTGTTCCATGAGATAGCAGCACATGGTAGGGTGAAGACTTGAAAGCTATAGGTGCATAACATTTTATATGATTCACCCAAGGAAGCCTATATCATGACATCAACTAAAGCATATACCTTTTCTTCCTACTAACAAGACCAATCGGAACCGAGTTTACGTTAAATGAGTAAGTGGTTGCGAAAGAGAGAACGGTAAGAATTCCAGAGTGAATGCGAATCACACTTTCATCATGATATCCTGTTAACAGCAGAAGATGAATAGATTTAATTGTGCGGTTTGCAGGAATCAATTAGCAACAGCAAAAGGATTTATTCGTTTAATGCCCGACTATAAACGGATTACCTTGTACAAATGCGCACTTGATCCTGTTGCGGTTTCCGTGAGTTACAGCATGGAAATATGAATTGTTAAAGATTCTCTCAAAGGAAACCGAGTTCGGTATATCTGTGTGGCTGTGGCAACAGCTCTTCAACCTCGATCCTGGCACTGGAACAACTCATGCTTTTCCTCATTCGACTATTGTTAATAGTCTCAACCTCGACCGAAAATACACTATAAACAGGCCTATGATCTGAGAACTTTGATTCCCCACGTACATAAGATAGCTGATATAGGCCTCTTCCATACCACAGTATACGATCACACCTTCACAAATATCAGGTTGCATGATAGTATGATACTTTTAGATCGATAGTAAAAGAACAACCGCGGGACGATTTCTTCTGACAGACATAAAAACGTCGAGTAAATAAGGAGATATTACCATGCAGGAGTCCTTCGCTTCTCCTTTGGGTGTCTATCCTCTCCGGCATATCTGTCTGAATTATTAGAATATTTGTATGTAGGAGGGAAATATATTTTTCCTTCACTCCATCCATCGAAAACACAGCCTCGCCTCTGTTCTATCCGAAGCTGTAAAACCATCAATTCTTTTGAGATCCTTTGGAGGAATTAAGAGAAGCATGAAGGTCCTCATAAAATGTACAGGAAAACGAATATATCGAATCACTCAGAACGGATAGGAACATGCCTGGTCATTCTCTAACAGCGCCTTCCAATTGCGCATCTCGACCAGAGCTTTTGCAGAACGGTATGACAGAGCAATCCGATAATTCAGATCCCCAAGCAATATAATACGACTATGCCAATACATTCGAAAAGTAGCATTTTATATCAAAGGCTATAATTTCATGGAAACTGATGTAGTAATTTAAATACGAAGGCTTACTCATGCTCAAGAATTGTTTGGGGAGAATTCTCATCTTCGATGCCATGAACCCTGGGAAATCTTGTTTTCCTTAGGATCTCCATAAAATCGGAGTTTCTTCGCAGCTCATCGCCCTCTTTTTGCCCGGATGTTAAATGGCTACAGACGAAGCAGAAGCTAGTTTGATGCAAAGACATGCTAATAGAAATGGATCCCTGAAAAACTCAAGAAAAGAGTATGTCTCCTTTCTTCTAGTTCAAGAAAATCATTCAAATCGGAGAAAAACTTTCATAGGCAAAAATGTACCTTGTTTCCAAGATAACCCATCAATCCTCTGCCGACGCAGGACACTTTCATGTTGCGAACATTATCTCGAAGATCACTCTTCACCCAAACGGTTAGAAATATCCCGACCATTTGCTTGCTGGAAACCAGACAGTACCTTGAATGCCCCATCTGTCTATTGGTTTCCTCCATGGCAAAAGATCTACCATAGGTCGTTGGAGAATATTGAGTATTCCCTGGTGAATCCCCTGGTCCGTTTTCATCATCAGAGGAACCCCATCTGAAATTAGTGTCACAATCACTAGGTCTATGTCCAAAGATAACACGATCGCAGACACTGAAGCGGCGGTCAAGCTGTGGTTGCGGCATTGCCATGTCGTTATCCATCTCCATGTTACGGCTCAAGAATTGAAACGACCGGCGGTGAAAGAAAGACGAAACTTTCTGGCTTGTCGATCCTTCAAAGTCCGAATCCAGTTCCACAAGCGGATCGGGGATCGGTGAAGGTGTGTGGCAACAACCACTGCTGCCAGGAAGACTATTCAGCGTCTTCCTAATGAGAGTTAGCCATTTCCTAGCCGGTCCATTGTTTTCCGTTCCCAACACATTACCAGCATTCAAAGGGACAATTTCTTGAAAACTACAAGACCAAATATAAAAGATCCAAGAGGATTCTATCAAATATCACAAAATCCACATGTTTAAAAGAATCGAAACATGGAAGAAATCCGATTCAGCTCGAAATACCCGAGAACGTAAACATCAGCGGGAGGAGAAGTATGAAGCCAATCTTGAAGATTCAAATAACTAGGAGGAGATTTCCCAGCCACATTCCATGTAGCTACAAAAATCCTGCAGAACCAAATCCTATTCAACAAAACTCTACAGAACACCAGAAAAGCAACTAAGAACACATCACATACCTATAATTATGCACATCAGTAAACTGCGAACCATCAATATCGGTTTTGCCTTGCCCAGCTTGATGCGAATACCTCTTGCTCGATCTCTCTACGATCCAAAAGTGAGTTAAATGGAAGTTTTTGAGATGGTGGGGAGATAAAAAAGAGAGGTGTGGTCCAAAATCCAAACCTGCTCTACTTTTCTTGATGGTGCATGGCTCCTTCTCTGAAAATTGGTGCCTCCTACCTTCATCAACACCTGAAAAAGAAGAATCATAAAGTTGTTAAAGCTGCTGCAATTCTCTCTCTTTACCAGAAGGGTATCATTTTCACATATTCAAACACCACAAAAAACAAAGATTATGGATTTCAGAGATAAGAGGTGAGGGGAGGGGGGGAACAAATATACTAGACAGATCTTGAGGCTGCAAACCAAAAAACCAAAACACATTTTTAATGCAAATGCAAGTGTCCAGTGTCTAGAAGAATCTGAAATCAATCACAGTTACCTCTATAATCAACATCATCAGCATCAAAGTCCTCAGCTTTACTCTTGATATTGAACCATTTCTTCACCAATGTCTTCCATGAAAGCTTCATAATCAGCCAAAAAAGCACTTAAACCAATCAGTAAATCTCACACTTGAAACATTAAAATGACATGAAGAATCAAAATGAGTTTTGTTTTTGGCTTTGTTTCAAAAGAAAAAACCTTGCTGCTCTTGTTGTTCCCACCTCTCATTGTTTCACACACCTTTCATATAGCCCAGATTTGTAAGCAAATAATAATTTATGAATTTGTAAAGGTTACTTCTTTTGGCTCAAACTATGACGTTGATGATATATTCTCAGGTGTTCTACTGCCCCCTTGATAAAATGTAAACAAAGACAAATAGAAAAGTACAAACAAACAAAAAATGAGAACTGGGACAAGAGGGGAAATATCAAGCTTTTGCTGAAAATAATGGGAGAAAAGTGTTATAATTTTGAATGATGGCTGAAATGAAATGAAGGGTGGTATTCAATTCCCTCAAGTACTGAAGAGAAAACACCAGTTTTTAACCTGAATTATTATTGTACCTTGAACCAGGTGAAGACCAAAAAACACAGTCTTTGCTGGTGTGGAGAACTCTTAAAAAGGGAGTAAAGGAAAGTAAATGGAAAATGGAAAACCAACAACAGAGAGATGGAAGAACAAGACAATAACTGAGGTTAGAACAAGACAATGTAGGTACAGGGCAAAGTATCGAATTTTCAAGAGAATAAAGTGCCCTTTTTTTAAACACCCTCGAAAAGCCAAGGATTGAACCAAGTGTATCAGTGGAGATAGATATCTCTTTCTCTCTCGATCCTAATTTTTACTCAACATTCAGGGCCAAAACTGGGAAACTAACATGGTTTTAGTACTTATATGATATGGTAAGTTGTTTTGATGGGGACTTTTGTGAAGATTAAGGCTGTTGTTATTGGAAGCGTGGTTTTTTGGAGCTTCAGATTTAATCCATTGATTATATAGGTGTATAGGCGGGGTGTAATAGGGGAATTTTTGTGCCAAAAGAAAGGTTGTAACTTCAATCTTCAATTGTGTGCAATGGCTTTTAGAAGGGGGAAAAAAAACTTTAGAACCATTGAATGAATCTCCTCAAAAGCTTCATCTTTGTTGTTTTAGAGCAGTCAATTTGTTAAGTCTCATACCTGAGTACAAATGCTCATATTATGTTTATCTTTAATAATTATATAAATAATTATTTTAATCTTTATTTTTCCCCAAATAATTTAACTTCTACTATTCTAATTTTTATCAAACTGTTTTTTTCCTTAAAAATAATTAATTAATCAATAATTAATATTTGTTCATGATGTGATATATTGATTCTTGTGTATTTTATTTACTATCATGACACATATCATCAAATAAGTATATTTAGATGTACAACAAATAAATATATGTGCATGTAACATGTTAATAATAAGTATTAATTAATAATTAATTAATAATTTTTATAATTAATTAATAATTTTTATCCAATAAATAATTATTTTGACTAAAATTGAAATAGATAAAATTAAAGTTTTAAAAAATATATATACGTTAAAATGACTATTAATATAAATATTAAATAGTGGATTTCGACATTATATGGTTAAATTTGATCATCAACATTTACTAAAGTATAATTATTATTTTTTACAAAAATAATAATTGTTAGAACTTAATATCTCAAGAAATAACAACATTCTTTTTAACCACCAATTACTTCATGGGTTCATGTTTATATAACATTAATTACGTTATATGTTACATAATAAATAATTTAAAATTTGTTTATTTTGTATGTAGGATCTTGTTAGGTTGTTAACAGGGTGGCTTAAACTGAGGTTCAAGTAGGTGGATGAATCCTAGGGTTCTGTGTAAGTATTATAGTGTTATAAGCTTGAGCAAAAGTGAAGTGTTGATGTATGATTTGTTCAATTGAATAATGTTTAGAGACACATGCTACATGTCGGAAACTGTGTCCGGTTCATTAACCAAAGTCCTTATTTCTCCATTTTCCAGAGTTCCTAAGTCTTAACAATTTACTTACTTTTATCTTAATCAAGTAGTTTGAATTTGCAGACTAAGCAATTTCAAGTTCAAATGATTTTCACTCACTTCGAGTTCAAGTTATTTGTGTGTTCACTCACTTCGAGTTCAAGTTATTTGTGTGTTTACTTGTTTGAGTGATTTTGGGTTATATTCGATTAAATATTTTAGATTTTAATGGTTTAATTTTGTTATCAAATTTAAGTTCGAATCATTTTATATTTGAATAAATCCTAATTTTGATTGAAAGAATTGAAATGATGAATTTAAAGAAAACAAATTTAAATCCAAAAATGTATGAAATCAAATTCAAGTATGTCTACGTTAGTGTAAGCTAATGGCGATGACAAGGTTCCACCAGCATCATTGATGCTATTCAGTTGGTCCGAATTATAAGTTGTCGAAAACTTGGTCCAACTCATAGTTGTCGAGGCAAAAAGTTATATCCACGTGGCACCCTTTTATTAATGGCTTTCCATGATTGCCATTTAGTCGGCAGATTAAGTTACGTATATTGTTTCTATCTTTTGATTATGTCTTAGGAAACTTAACTATCTTGTTGTTTTTTATAAATAAAAAAAAAAAACTATAATGTTAGTTAAACAAAACACAACATTTGCTCATGGAAGTTGCCGGGGTTGCGGTCTAAATGTTGTTGCACAAGCTCTTTACCTCAAAGAAAAATAAATATAGAAGTACTCATAAACATGAAGTTTAATTCAATTTTCTTAATATAAAATGTTTAAATTTTAATTTCTTTTATTAAAATTTGTTGTTAATTTCGGGAGGACAACTAAAAAAATGTTATTGTTAATTTATACGTGTCTATATTTTATGACGTTAATACATGATAAGATTGATGACAAGACAAAGGAGTTGCTAAATTCATAATAAAATTAGTAAATAACAATATTATTCAGTAGGATATATATATTTTTTATAATCTGGTAGGATATAGTCGAAACTAATAATTAAAATTCTTAAATAATCATATTGTTTGATAGAATACAATTGAGTAACCAAAGCAATATTTACTCCTTAAAATTCTTAAATGATAACTAATAGTTCGAGTCATTGTGTATGTAGAAAATCATCGTAGGGAGACTCCACACACTAAAGTTAGGTGTACGATGCAAATTTATCTGAATTAATCAGTATGAAACATTGAAACTGAAAAGGTAAAAAATAAATAAAATATATTAAGCTGACTTTCCTCCTCTCTTTTTTCCTTCTCTTCTGGTATAATAAAGATTTCCCTTCTCTTTGTCAAAATTTAATCAGGAAAAGGAATGGAGAGATTTTGGTATAATAAAGATTGAAATTGTCCAAAAAAGTGAGAAAAGAATGGTACAGTAGGTGAATGTAGAAACATAATAAAGATTTCCCTTCGCTTTAGTACAGTTGATGTAAGATGGAAGAAACTGTTCTGAAAATTTAAAGACCATTTGGTCCTACTTATAAATGTTCCATCCATATCTCCACTGGGTACCAATATTATTAGAACAAATTAAAGATTAAATGAAAAAGTAAATCTTTTCCTAAAATTTAGTACATTTATGTGACGTTTGGTTTGTAGGAATCCCTTAGAATTAGAGAGAATTGAAATCCAATTCCACCACTTTCCCATGTTTGGTTCAAGTTTTCAAAGAGAATTGAAATCCTAAATGACTTCAACTTTCTATCAAGGGAGGGAAAGTAAATTTCATCCATAACATGAGGGAATTAAAATCCTTTTGAGAAGGGAATGTGAAATTTGACTATATTATCATCATAATTATTTTTCATATATTTATTTTTTATTTTTCTTATTTTATTTGTTTTTTTTCTTTTTTTTTCTTTTTATTCTTTTCTTATTTTTTTATATTAGTTTTATTTATATATTTATTTTCATTTGTATTTTCCTCTTGTTTGTTTATTTATTTATTTATTATGTATATATAATTATTAGTATTTTCCTTTATTTTGCTCGTTATCTTTATTTTGATTATTTTATTTATTTTTCTTTATTTTATTTTTTATTTTTTATCTTTATCTTTATTGTTTATTTATTTTCTTTATCGTGTTTTCCTTTTTTTTTCATTTATTTTTATTTCCTTTATTTTATTTTTCTTCAGTTTATTTATCTTCATTGTCTTTTTTTCTAACATGCTTCTCGACTCTTTTAAGGGTACACTTCCGAATCTATCAGGGGTAAGTGATTGAGATCGTTATTTTTACCTTTTAATTTAAAGTTACAATTTTCTTAATTAAAGACAACTGAAAATTACGTAGTACCGAAAGGGCAGTTCGAGGGTGCTAACCCTTGACTTGTAAGTTTTTGGTATATTTTTTGGTAACTAATTGACATACTTCGATTGGGATGTATCGAAATATTATTCTATCTTTTGGTAACTTATTAACATATTTTGATTGGGTTGATTTTAACGTATGAAGTTTATTAGCATGATTTTTATAATTTATTGAAATGAATAATCAATCAATAAAATGAAAATTTAAATTTTTTTAAAATTTTTATAATATATTGCTACATGTAAGTTATAACCCAAACTAAAATTAAACAAAAAAAAATAAGAAGGGCAATTCTGTCATTTTTACATTACTAAAATCAAATTCATCTGACATGTCTGAGAACCAAACAAAATATGAAATTAGATTCCGATTCAATTTCCTGCCAACCAAACATGTTTCAGATTCAGATTTCAATTCTTGACCGATTCCAATTCCTTCACAGATTCCAATTCCTCATAAACATTCCAGCGAACCAAACGCCACCTTAATGTTTTCCTGTAGAACTGGACCTTTTTATACCAAAAAATAAATTACAATAATTTAGACTATATATAATATATTCTAAACAAATATATCTACTATTAAATCAATTAGACCATCAATTTTCAGTTCCATCAGTTTAACAATATTCTTTTGATAAATGAAAATCATTAGTTTCATTAAAAAAATAGAAATTTTTTAAAATTATAATGAAGGTTCATAATTTAAATGTAAATTAAACATATAATTAAGATGTTTTTTTTGTAATCATTGACACAAGAAACTAATAATTTGATATTCCACAAATATCATATAAGAAAAATGTTAAAAACTCATCCAAAGAAATCGAACAAAAAATAGATACAGACATATTTGACTGCATTAGCAAACGAACCACAACATAGAATTAAACTACTAAAAAAATCATTAACAATCGTAAATAAATAGTCAAACATTGTGAGAAAAATATATCTGAACGCAAACAATGTATCCAAATTCAATTTGATTGTGCAAAACAAGGAAGATCAATAGAATAATAAATAAGTGTTATATTTATCAATAAAAACGATGTCAAATCCAATCTTCAGAAAATTAAACAAAAAGAACGATCAAAAGACCAAAAACATGCCAAAAGATAGAGAAAAATGTGTTATAAAGACAGATGAAATTATGACATGAAAGCAGGATTATTAGGAATAAAAAAAACAAAGATACAATATAAAAAAATATAAAAAATAAAAATACAAACGATCAACAACCAATACTAAAATTAATATATTGACTACTGCACAAAAATAAAGAAAAAATGTGTCGTTGCTGCTGTGGACAGAAAAATAAAAGAAGTTTTCTAGGGTCTCACTAGACCAAATTTAATCTTAATTGTAAGTTAAAACTGATAACGATTATAGTTTAACAATAATTAAATAAATTTTGAAATCCAATCAATTAGACTCTTGATTTTTTATTAGATTTATGATTTTTAAATGATTCAAATAATTTTAATAATTTAACCGTAATCAAATTTTAAAATATAACAAATTTAATAAGATATATATTTTAAATTAAGTTGAACACGAGGACACACAAGATTTTATATTAGGAGAATAAATTTTCAAAATTTTAGAATACGTCAAATTTAAAATGTTTCAAAATAAAAAATAAATTATTAATAAAAAAATCTAAAATATATAAGAATTCAAAATTCATCATCTGATTGCCCCAACTGCATTCTTCATCTATGTTTCAATGAATAAAAAGCAATTATTTTTAAAGCAATGGGCATTGGATTCCATAGGGTTAGGGAAAGTGGGCAACCTCTGATTTAAACCCACACGGTTTTCGGTAAGCAACCGTTATTAATGTATGGATGAGCTTAGGCTTTCTTATTTATTAATTATTATCTGGCATTAGAAATTAATTAAATGTTAGTATCTCCGTTTTCTAGTTTGGTACATCTGCTTTACTGCTTTCCTCATGCTATTGTTCTTAGCTTTCGGTTTTTTTTTCTGGAAACATTTCGTGTTACTGTTGCTATTATTAGTTATTCTCAAGTAGCTTCTTATGTAATCTCTTCTCTTTTTTCTGTACTCGTTAACTTATGTAAAATCATTCTAAAATAAGGGAAAAAATCGAACTGATGAATCGTATTTAGGACCTTTTTCTGTAACTTATGGAGAATCATTCTTAAATGAGGAAAATATTCCAACTGATGATTCGTATTTAAGAACCCGGTTGCATCATAGTATAGTTTAAGAACATTCGACGTTGTGATATTGGAAAGGTAAGGGACAAATTATATACCGAAAAGGAAAATGGAAATCTTTGCACATCGTCTTTTGAGAAGAAGACAATAGTCTCGTGGTATCGAAACGATCATTTGACTATCCGATTTCACGCCGAATATCACACCTTAGAAAGGTGAAGGACATTAATTCCTCATCGGAAAAGAAAAAAGAAAGTCCTATAACTTATAAACGGTGACACTATACATCCAATCAAACATGTCTTTTGGGTCCAAAAGATAATAACATTTGGCAATATGCACCACCACCATGTTCTTTCTTCAAATTCTAACCAACTAAACAACTCAAAAGAAACCAGATCCAGTTTGTGAAGCGAATCTCCAAGTGGCTTCACCAAAGACACTAAAATCCATAGCCTGCTTACAAAACGGTAGGTTTAAAGCGAGATTGACTACAGTTAGAACCAAAATAACAACTCAAGAAACAAGAGATTATCTGTCAGTCGGATTCCTTATATAACTTCTAATCCCCAAAAACTGATACAAGATGCATTGTTCACTGGCCTGCTACAACAGCAAGTAACTACTAAGCATGTTAGGCAAAGCTTGTGGGAGCCATTCTCTTCGGACTAGAACGTGGGAAAGTTAGAAACTTAAACGGTGCCTCGGCACAGCAGGTTGCATATAAAATCAAGTTACTAATTTCTACTTGGGTGCTGCAGGAGATCTATGGGAAAGTGTCATGTATATGGCTTTGATAGTATTCGGAGTAGTTCTACAACAACCTCCTACAAGCGAAGCCCCAACCTCACACCATTTGCTTACGTAGGAGATGAAATCTTCATCCTTGACTCCTGTATTTTGCTGTCACAAAAAGAATGATGCAGACCATTAAGGCTCCACTTTAACAATGGAACAAATGAATTACTGAACAAACTGTATAGTTTCTTTTTCCTTTTTTTCCAATTATTTTGCAAATTCCTTTATACTTGGGCCCTTTATTTTCTTTAAGGCCAAATGAAAATAGCAATCAAGAGGTGTTTCTCGATATCATGTTGGGCAAAAACTAAAAAAGGTCTAGTTAGTACAGAAGAGACCGTTGTGGTCAAATAAGGTGTTCCTACAGATTTCAGGCCCTTTTCAGATATAGGGGATGTTTCATGCATCATCTAGAGAGAAAAAAGAAAATAAACTTACCACCCATTGCTTCCAATCAGCATCATACCTCTCACCACTATTGGGATATATAACAATTGGTTTGGTAGTGACCTGCACGAATTATTAACCAAATAAGTTTTTCGAGTCCGTCAAAATTTCTAGACTGCAACGTTACGGGACAAATTCCTCAAACATTAAAAAAAAACAAAAAAGGAAAGGAGAGAACCAGTTAATTGCTAAACCATAACCTTCTTAATTTCTAGAATCAGATCATGAATAAATCTAGGAGGAGTGCAGTTGATTCCAACAGCAACAACTTGTTTGCAGGATTCAGCAATTGATGCACACTGAAGCAAAGAATCACCGCTAACTACATTGACACCATCTTTTGAGTTGAAAGTAAACCATGCCGGAATCTTTAAGTGTTCTTCCTCTAAGAGTTCAGCATAAGCCTGTATGAACAGCCTCCAGAATCTCAATATTAATAAGAAACAAATTAAACAACAAAATAAACATAGAGCACTGAATCAATAACACCTTACTAGTCAATTCAGGAAACATTTAGGGTATGCAAGACATGAAATTTAGCATGTTTTTGTTCCTCACACCCTTCTTACTTTTATTTTAAGGAAAAAAAAAGTTTAATTTGGAATCAAATATTCAGCAATACCTGAGCTTCTATCTTGTTTGGAACTGTTTCAAATGCTATTAGGTCAGGGCCTGAATCTGCCAGGACCTGAACCCTTCTGCGATGAAATTCTTTCAAAGCTTTTACCGTCATTACATCACCATAGTGCCCGCTAGTATAGAGAATATAACAACAGAAAAAGGAGTCATTTACACAAAAAAGATAACAGATTGTGTCAGATAGCCTAAAAGCAACAAGATTGGATTTGGATTAAACATTACTTGATAACAGTTGCATAGATGATTGACACACCTGTACTCAGAACCATCAGCCAAATAAGCCCCATAGCTGCCTACAGATGCTGCAACTAAGATTGGACGCTTTTTTAGCACCTTACCATCTCCAATTCCATCACTAGAACTTTTACTACATCTTTCATAATACATTTGTCTAGCCTCAATGGCAATTTCCACACTTTTTTTAAGCAATGATTCACTTTGTTCTCTGGAAAAGCCTTTCCCTTCGAACCCTTGAATCGTGGCCTGTTAAAGATACATAAATTTACATCAGTCGGCTAAAGAGAGAGATTTAGAGAGAGAAATGTTATATTTGATACCTGATAGGATGCTGTGATTATAATATCCGCACCAGCTTCAAGGTAGTCAAGGTGTACCTGCTCAAAACCGTTTGGTAAATGATCTAGAGAAGCACTCTAAACATCACATGCAGTCAATTTAAAACCATTTTACTTGTACCAGGTGCTGCAAAGTGACAGAAACACTATAAATTCAATGATTGGATTTGTCATGAAAAACCAATTTGGGCACGTTTTCAACCAAATGGTGTTACAGAGACACCAATATTCACAAAAATCATGGATAATATAATCTAGCCAGACGAATCAATCAGCTTATCAAGAGCAAAACAGAGAAGCAGTCATATGGCTTGCTTGTTCATCACCTCAACTTTTAATTACGGCAGTAATCTCGTTTACTTGGACCATGCATACATGAATAGTTTAATTATCTTGAAATTGGGTTAAGTACAATGAACCTAGGCCTATCTTATTTGGAAAGGCAACTAGCAGTCATTTTGGATATTGAACCTTTCTGACATGGGTTATGAAGACTAGTAGAGAACTAAGCTTTCAAAAAACCCAATCCCAGTATCCTGTTTATTGTTTTACCTTTTAAAGATTTCTGAGAGAGAGAGAGAGAGAGAGTGCAGACATGGACAACTGACTACAAACTAAAAAAAGGTCAATTCTTTCATCACAATATTAAAATAAGCAATAAATTTATATACAAAACAATATAACTCAAAACTGAAAACTGAATCGTGACCAATAAATAACCCTTAAATGCCACTGACATGGCTCACTAGATCAAAACTGGACGTCTGAACCACCTCCACACTGTGGTCCAGTGTTCTATACATACATACATGCATATATATATATATACTATCCTGCATCCATACCAAATCAGAACAGGTTTTGTTCTTTTTAATTTTTTTATAATCAGAGCAAATTCAGTTCCATATGGAAGTAAATTATAAGGACAGTAACACAACAATCCAAATTCCCAAATAGACCTCCACCAACCATTCATTTTTCACTGCAATTCCTTTCCTCTTCCTTCCATCAAAAATGAAAACTTACTTGCATTCATGCAAAACCAATTCCTAACTTCCTATTATAAACCACGCTGAAATGTACATAAGATATAATGAAAACAAACAAAATCAAGGTTCAAAAAAAGTAATTTTGAAAGAGAGAGGGAGAGAGATTTACGGAGCGAATGAGGTGAGGAGAAGTGAGGAGACATTTGGCACTCCAGAGGGGATCGTTTAGGTCAGCACCATGGCGTTCCAGCTCCGTCGCCAGTCCTCCGTCGATAACGGCGGCGCCTCCCGTCTGACGGAGGAACTCCTTCATCAATGAGGGCGTCGCCGGGATGTTGAAAGCCTCCATTTGCTTTGTTTAATTAAAACGGGGCCCTTCTCTCTTTTTCAGTGTCTGGTTTCTGGTTTTCTTTGGCACTTTGAGATATTTTTTTTGACAAAGAAACTCCAGATATTTCATGACTTCCACCTCTCACTCGATCTCGCAAACCTACTTACCCATTTGCCCCCTCTAATGTTCTGATATTACAATATTTACCATTCCAATTTGAGCATCTATTTTTTTTAACTTTTTTTATGTTTGATTTATTATTTACGTTAATAATTTCTAAGTGTTTTTTTAATAATTTTATCTCTAATATTTTTTTTAGTATAAAAATGAGCTAATTACATTACATGTTCTCAAAGTATGACCCTCATTTTAAACTGGTCCCTAAAATTTTAATTGTTTCAATTTCATCCTTAAACTATGACTATCATTTTAAATTAGTCCTTAAATGTTTGAACATTTCATTTTCATCCCCAAACTATAACCTTCATTCTAAATTGGTCCCTAAACTTTTTGAACATTCCAATTTTATCCCAAACTATATGTGTATACTAATCACATCTCTTGTTAATAAAATCATTAGGTCAAGTTCTATTATTATATGTTTAGAAAATAAAAACAAAATTTAGGTTAAACTATGGTTGAAACTAATTACATATTTAGATGAATTTGGGGATGGAATTGGAAGATTTAAAAGTTAGGGACCAATTTAGAAAGAGGATAGTAATTTAGGGATGAACTTAGAATATTTAAAAGTTTAAAGACTAATTTAGAATGAGAATCATAATATAGGGATGAAGTTGAAATATTTAAAAGTTTAAGGACCAATTTAAAATAAAAATTATAGTTTGGGGACATAATACATTTAACTCGAAGAAAATAATTGGATATTTTTGACATGATCATTTAAATATAAACATTAGGCGTATGAACTAAGTGACATCGGTGATAAAGTAATCGTTGTTATTCCTTAAAGATTCAAGTTTGAACACCATGAATGCTAAGGATAAAAACGTTCAATATCAAATGATCGAATAAACATATAATATATTATATTTACCTCGTATTAATATATATATATATATATATATATATATATATATATATATATATATATATATATATATATATTCTATTATTTTTAGAATTTACTGTATAAATTCAACCCAATTCAATCAATAAAAATATACTCAAATAATTGAAAAATCATATTTTTTTCATTGTTTTTTGAGTTTCTCTTTTTTACATGTTTAAACCCTATAGTTATCCATCACAAATTAAATCCTCATTTGCTACCCTTAAGGCACGAAATAAATTATAATAAAAATTATTACAAGTGAAATATGTAATCTCGTTCGCGTATAGACAATACAAAATTTTATGTTATAGTTAATTTATAAAATTTTAGTAGAATGAATATAAAATTTTAAGAGACGAATTTATAAAATTGTAAGGATAAAATATATTATCAATAGAAAATATATAAAAATATATTTAAATTATATAAAAATTTGAAATTTTCCTGATCAACTCCACCAAACTCATTCGACTGCATTCGCTCCTTACTGATCCAATAGGCTAATGGAAGCTAACTTGGGTGTGTATTTAAACATGATATTGTTTTCACAAAAGATTTAATGAATCATTTAACTATCTATTTGAATGTTGGTTTCTCAAATGGCCCTTTTTGATTCAGCAGACCACACGGTTGTTGAGATCTTTACGGCCCTGAAAATATTAAGCTTTACACACTATCATGTGAGAAACAATGCATCAATCATCATTGAATTGAGGGACTGAACCAGGTGTTCGACGTCGTCTTTTATATGGTTCTATTCATTCACAATATCGAAGCCAATGGTTATAGAAAGACTTGCCAGAACCTAAGAATGTGCTTGGCTTTCGCAATCAACTAAAACTATGTACAACGAGATAAAACGAACGAGCTAAAAGCATCACGGGCCACGGGTGGTGAAGCAGAAACATCCAGAAGCTTGGTCATCAGGTATCATGCCACCTCCCTTGCTGGTATCCACTGCTTCCAGCAATCTCACCACCTCGTCCATGTCAGGACGTCTTTCAGGGTGTGCATCCCAGCATTTTCGCATGATGCTTGCCAATGAACTGGGGCAACATCTAGGAATTTCTGGTCGTAAATTCTGCAAATAACGATCTCCGATGTCATTTACATATGTATCATCAGACATTACAACCAAAGGTATCAGAGACACCAGTCAGGAGAGTAGAGACTCAAGTGCAAACATTCATTGATTTGGCTACAGGCACTCATCGAAACCCCATTCAGTAGGATAATTCTGATGTAAATGACGTAAACTCTAGTCGAAAGGCATCAGGGTGTGATCAACTCTGATCGTTGGAAGAAATCCAGCGAACTCGTTGGTACAAATATATTCAAAAACAACAACAGAACTAGTCAACACTAATCAGCTGACCCCTGATCAGTTATGCAAGAATTAAAATTTGGAAATATCATAAACTATGTAGAGAACATTCCAAAAGATCAGTACTTTGAGTAAACTCATACCTGACATACGACTGCCGACGAAACTTCAGCGAAACTATGATCAGCATAAGGCATGTCACAGCAGTATATTTCCCATAAGCATATACCAAAACTGTAGACATCGCATTTCCGGTTGTAAGGCTTTCCATCAAGGACCTACACACGAGTATCACATCAGAGATATAAACTATACAATCAATGGACCTCAAAGGAGTAGATACCTCTGGGGCCATGTAACCGTGAGTGCCTGTTTCCCCCGTCATGTCTCTTGGGTTCTGAGCTTCAACTCGAGCAACGCCAAAATCAGCAATTTTCAAAGTTCTATGAGCATCTAGCAACATATTTTCGGTCTTGACATCACGGTGTACAATCTTCTTGGAGTGAAGATAGCTCAAACTGCAAAAGGTGAAGAAAACGAATCCATTAGTTTTCCAGAAGTAAACGTTGGAAATACTAATATTACTGTAAAACTACTCACCCTCTAGAGAGGTCCAAAGCAATTTGAATCACAACCTTAAAGACAAGTTTCTTCCTCCTGTTTCTGATCAAAAAATTCTTTAACGTCCCACCTGGAAGGTACTCAACAACAACACAACATGCTCTTGAAGGAAGGGAATTATTATTCTCACTTATTCCATCTTTTGTCGGGATCTTAAGATTGGAAGTTCCCATTGAAGCTCCAATAAACTACAACAGGTCGTTTATTCATGATTTGAACATTGGAATTCAAAAAATTTAAAGAATTATGTCATGGTAGTCATAACACTCATAACAGTAGAAGAAGCTCAGAAAAAAGAAACACAATAAAACAGAGCCATCTTCTCATATATTATAGCTTAATCCGTGGGAGCTTGTCGGTGCCATCATTAACTTAGTGCAAACCATATGCCTAACCTGGTAAAATATAAATTGGTTTTACCTTTGTAACATTTGGGTGGTCAAGCTTATGCCAAACAGCTACCTCTTGCCGGAATGATGCCCGAAGAGCAGCAGCTTCAGCAATTGTGGCAATCCCATCCTCCCCCCAATCCAATACCTTCACTGAAATATGAAAAGTCCTTGCAGTTAGGATATCAGCAACGTTGAGCATAAGTTTTTTTTTATTAATGAAGCGAAGAATTAGATGTTTCACTGTCAAATATGGACAGAATATAGGCAGCAAGTAATGTAGAGACTACTGTTTTGGCACAAGTTAAACTCGATCATCAGAAGGAAACATGACCTTCATATATATAGGTTAAGGAACCTTTATAAACAAATATAAATATTTAAAACAACTGAAATTTAGATGGCATTGAATTAATTCAAAAATAAATAAGTTCCATTTAAACAACTCTGTAAAGAGGAAGCAATCTTGGAGCCCCATGACAACTCTGCAGAAGCTGTTTATACCAAGCAAAGTGTAAAGGGTTGTTCTTGACTGAAATTATCAAACCACAAGAAATAATCACTGGAATCAAGATAAAAATGATCTAATTTCAAAGTGTAAAGAAAGAGTTCCTATTACTCGCAAATAGAAACTGAGCAAGTCATCATGCAACTTCATTCAGGCAGTTATGGTAAGCTAAGCATCGATGTGCTGCATCTAGACAAATGAAAGGTTCCTAGTATGTCAAAGCTTTTCTTTTTCGTTGCCAATAGTGAAGCACTTGACACCCTCATTAAACAAGACAAAACGCTAGAGGATGTCAAAGAATTGTACCTCAAAGCAACATAATCTTACACTCGAGTCGGTAGAAGTGATGCTAGTCGTAAGACATCACCCCAACTCACCTCAAGTTTCGAAGCATAAACCCCTTAACACACAATGTAATCTATACACAGCTGAACCTAAAGAAATGAACTTATTATTACATTATCATCTGCTACTCCTAAAGCTTCATGTACCACAGGAACATACATTTAAACAACTAAGTACAATCTAACCAATCAAGCAACTCAAATGTACTAAATAGCTCTTATTTTTGCACAAAAAAGGTCAAAATCCGACCGTAAGAGAAAGGGTTGCAGATGCTGCAATTCAAACTTACACCTACATGAACAAATCTTAATAAATCCTAGGTTGAACGTGGCATCTTTTTATCACCTACACAGTACAAGCACTTGTACAGTGTAATGAGAAAAAAAAAGGGTTCTCATCTTGGGCCAAAATAACAGTCTATGATCAAACATGAAAGCATAAAATTGGTGATACCTGCAACATCTTGGCTATCATAAACCCCACCGTACACGGTGCCATAAGTCCCATGAGCTATAACATGCCTTATATCAAGCTTAGCCAAATCAATTTCCCACGCTTCCTTCTTTGTCACAGTTGGACTGTCGTTGTCCCTAGACCAAGCCTTGCTCAAGTGCTTTTCAAGTTGCAAATCCCATCTCTTGAAATCTATCTTATCTGCTCTAAGAAACATCTCCTTATTGTTAGTAAAGCTTCCTAAAGACCCCAAGGCCTTTTCCATTTTAGTCGATGTCCCTGTTTTGGCTACACCTTCAGCTCCTTCACCATTACTTGTTGCCATTTTTTGTTGGATAAATAAATGAGAAAAAAACCCCAGAAAACAAGAGCAGTGGATGATTGTCTGGGAAAGGTATTATCTTTTTTAAAGTGGGGTTTTTTTTTATAATAAAAGAAAAGGAAATGAAAGGGAGGGAGGGGCTTGGGTTTTGATTGTGGCTTGAAATGGATTTGAAGAGGCACAAAAGACTGTTTCAAGAAGAAGAAGAAAAAACAAGGAATTGAAAAGAAACAAAGGTTAAACGCTGCTATTTACCTCTCCATTCCAACGGATTCACCGGTGTTTGAAGATCTTCTGTGGATGGTAAAATCGAAAATTTTGCATTTTTTTACAGAGAATTTGAATCTCCAGTGTTGTAAAATCCAGGTGCGAGCATAGCAGTAAATCCAAAGTACTGATTTTGTTGTATAATATTATTGTAAAATAAAGAGAGCTTCCATCTTTAGTTGAAGAATTTACGGCCTTTATGAAGCAGAAAGAGCAACAAATCTGGGATTGATATTCATAAACAGGGAAACGACCATTGCTTAAATCAGTAATTAAATATTAAAAGGTAGTGCTACTTGGATTCAGATTCTGCCATTATTAGGAAATCATTTACAAATTATAATTAAAACTGAAAATTGTGGCTAGATAATGTTAAAAATGATTTTTTATTAAAATTTTAAAAATATAAAATAAATTTAATTTATTACAGAATATTACTTTGTCATTAGTTATCATTAACTGTAGCAAAAAAGAGTAACGTAACATCTTAAGTGATGAGTATTTTTTTTTTCTAAATAGTTTAATATGATTATAAAGTAATATTTATTTAAATTTTTTAATCTATTAATAGCATATAACTACTTGAACTTAATACCTTTAAAGATAATAATATTTTTTTATCACTTAGATCATTTAATGGGTTCAAATCAATGAATAGTATTAAATGTTATTATGGAATTAAATGAGATATATTACCTATTAATTTAACATAAGTTAATGCCATCTAATGACATGGTGTCCATTTTATAACTTTCGAAATTTTAGTGATTGAAAATATCATTTCAGCATAATTTAGTAATTACTTATGTATTTATTCTAACAAAAACGATGTGAATCGAGTTATAACTTTATTATTTTAACTAGTTTAGTAATATCGATTTTTTAAGTTATAAATATAATTAATTATTATAAAAACATGATCAATTCAATAGCTATAATATATTAAATATAATATGTGTTTGATAAAACTTAAATTTAGAATTATAATTTTTTATAATTTTATTATTGTCTTAGTGATAAAGAAAATATTTTTCTTTAGATGACTTAAACTTAAATAACTTTATTTGTAAATATACGTGATATAATTAAATTTAATATCATAATAAATATTATTTAGTAATCATATTTATTTAAAAATTATTCTTATAAATGAAATGAAAGGGTAAGTTCTTATACGTTACACTGTAACGTGTGATATGATGTTGAATAAGGAATTCTTTAGGGCCGTTTGGTTCACGGCATAAGATATTACAAGGGGAATGAAATCCTCATTCACCCGTTTGGTTAGCCAATAATCTTATTCCCAGTAATCTTTTATTACCAACTGTGGATTTTTTGGGTTATATTACCGAGAATATGATTACCTCTCTTCCTTACCGGTGTTTTGGATTAAAATGTCCTTAATTTTTTTTTCTCAAAAATATAATTTTTCTGTCGTTGAATAATAAAAATTATACGAATGTTAAATTACAAATTTATCCTTAAACTATTTTAGATTTACAAAAAAAAAGTCTATAATTAAAATTTTATATGAAGTTCAGGGGTTAAAATAAAATTTTACCCTTTCATTAAACCTATTTATCTTTTCAAATTTGTAAAAAAAATATATAAATTTTATGAATTTAAATTTTTTAAAGAAAATATATAAATTAATTATAGAATATTAAAGTAGAATTCAACTTGTTAAAAAAACAAATATATAAGAAGGACAATTTGATAAAATATATATTCCAATAATCTTTTTGTCCAAAAGTAAAACATTAGATCAAAATGGTCTAAAAATATAGAAACCAAAATGACCATTTAATTAAATGTTAGAGGTTTTTTATATTATGGAAAATACACATACTCTATAAAGCTACTGTTTTTATTTACTAAGATAATGGCTTCTTGACTACCTTTCTCAAGAGCTCCACACGCCACAAAACTTATAATATTTCTCAACGAACAACGAATTTCGACCATTCCTTACAAGTTGGTGATGTCTTATTACTATTAAATGAAGTTCGTGGACATGAACGAGCATTGTTTGCCGTGATGTGGCTGACCAGGATCATGCAATCCCACATTCTATTATGTTGTTTACTGCGACGCAAAATTATAAATAAAACAATTTATATATAAAAATGTCATATTCTGATTTGATCCTTCTGTTATGCTGAAATTTATGATTTAATTTGTTAGTACCATTAACTATTATCGTATTAGAAAAAACACCCGGCACGTGAACTGTTTATTAGATTAAGTTGTTTCATTGTATTTTTTTTGGGTATGAAAAACCCTTAAACATTCACATATCATGCAACAATTCAACGGGGTAGCTAGAATGGGTTGACAATTTAAACTGATTAATATAATTATAAAAAGTAAGAGGATAAAATTATGTAAAACTATAATATAGGACCTAAATCCAAATTTTAACATAATAGAGGGGTCAAGATCAAAATTTAAACACCAAAGATGCACCAATAGGGCTTATAAATAATTATTCCAAGTGAAGATATGTGCAACTGCACGAATTTTTTTCTTAAGAACCTGTTAGGTTTATTAAAAATATAAAATATTTAAATTAGAATAAACATTTATAATCACAATCATAAACTAAATACATGAATAACACCAAGATTGGAATCGCTTTCGGATCACAAAATTAAAGAAGAAAAGAGACTACAATAGCCAAGAAAAAAAGGAGAGTAAAATTCTCTCTTCTTCTATGTAGAAATTAGTCAAACAAAAAAATTTACCAAAATAATTTATATTCACCCAAGTTAGTGTACTTTTCGTATCATGATTATAATAAAAGTAAATAAAAAATTTAATGGTTATAAGTTTGATAATTAAGATAGAAAGTAATATAAAAGTTAATGATCAGTATAATTCACCCTAATTTATATTTAAATTGAACGGAATTAGAAGATAAAATCAGGTGTTTTTTCAATTTATTATTATTTTGGCTACTTTGGACGGGCCTGATTGATATGGTAAGAATAGCTGAAATGGTTATTTGATGAACCGTGTTTGAGCCTTGTAAAATTCCGCAAAACTCAGTTCTCCAAAGGTAAAAGCAGTCTAAACCAATTGCATATTAATTCTTATACTTTTAAAATGAGAAACATTTACACGAACAAGGTCATTTAAACAAGGTTAGGGGTTTGAATCTTGGCGTTTGTGAATGGAGTAAACTGGGTTAGGAAGATCGCTCTCGCCTCTGCAGTACCCGATTTGGATTAGTCGGTCAATAGATCGAATAATAGTGATTAATTAAAAAAATGAGAAATATTTACGTTAGAAAGACAAACAAAATGTCCCCATCTTTGCAATAGTTGGGAAAATGTTAATTTTATACCAGCTGGATTTAGTTGAATGATTTAGTATTAATTTAAAATGTAACGTGGTATGTTCACCCGATTCGTTGTAATTTAAAACAACAGATTTATTAAATTTAACAAGTGGATCAAATATAAAATCGGATCGAATTAGATGTAATTGTTTGAACTTTTAAAATTACAATTGATCGGATATATATATCATGTTATTTAAAAGTGACGCATCATATTTTAAATTAATGCAACATCATTTAATTAAGTATATCTCATAAAATTAGTAGTTTTTTTTTCTTCAGTAATTTACAAAAAAAATGACCATTTTGTTTGTTTTTCTAACATACAAAGATGAAGGAATTGTATTTTTTTAACTCATTTTAAAATTTTGGGTACCAAAATACAATCCATGCTATAGTATAAGGATCCATAAAATATTTTCATTAATCCAACAATTTTTTTTATACATTTTTGAATTATCTTTCAATCCCGAATAATTGGTTAATTGTATTATTCTAAGAAAAACATTAAGTGTTTAGGTCCATTTGAACTCATAGCTTTTAAAATATTTATAATAACATTTATATCAACTAAACTATTACTCACATGGACGGACACATAATTTTATATTTAGAGAAACAAATTTTTAAAATTTTCGGAGAACAAAAATAGATTATTAATAAAAAATATATATAATAATTTAATTTAAAAAAAAAACAGTTGTCTCTGACTACCCTTCCCTCGATCGATCCCAAATTACTCAATTAAACACAATATATATTCAACTTGTGCAGAACTCATTTTTATAACAATCTTGGGACAACATGTATGCTTTAGTTTACATTTGTTACCGTTGAGTGTTGAAAATAAGTAGGGTCCAAAGTAACTCAAACTTATATTAATATTTTGCAATGGAAAGCGACAATATTTTATAATGATGGAAATCTCATACCTAATCTAATAGTCAATAATTTTAAATAAAATATTTCAAAGATATATTATAAGAAATAATAATAATAATTAATTACATCCCAAAAGGCCGATGCAATTCTGCAAATAAATATAACCCAAGTTTAGATTGTATTTTAAAAAGTGGCGTTGCATGATAGAGAAAAGTGGGCCAAATTGCTTATCTTCTCTTCAAAATTGCTTAAACTTTAGCTTACATTACATAATAGCAAATCATAGCCAATCCAAGCTTTTAGGGCTGTGGCCTGTGGGGCTGGGTTGAGTCATGTGCGCTTGCTCCTTTGCTACATAGAATACTCTTTATTCGATATTCATATTTATTTTATAATTCATAAATATCATTTTTAAGATAAAGTGTAGATATTAATTTTAAAATTTATTTTTTTAAATATTTATTCATCAAATGATTAAAAACATTACTCATACACATGTATTATCATTGTTCAGTTTGTGTTAATGTTAATGTGTCAAATGATATTCCAGGCTGGCTTTTGTTTCTTTGTTTTGGCATAGTATGCAGATTCATCATTGTTTTTTTATGTGGAAGTAGGACTTGTTTCAATTGAAACTAAAAAACAACAATACATCTGTCATTGTGTCTAAGCAGTTGAAACACTATCAATTTACGCA